CTGGTGGGAGGTGTCCCTGCCCACATCAGTGCAATTGGAATTAGAGGATCTTTAAGGTCCCTGCCAACCCAAACCATTCTATGATTCTATAATCCAGATGCTCTCAAGGGGATGATATCACTGTGAGAGTGTTTTTAATGTAACATGACAGATGCACACACTGTAACAGTGCATTTGCATTATTCCTTCATTTTGCAAAGGTGAAACATAGACGTGGATGTCTTTTTCTACAGTTAGAAGCATTTGCACAAATTACAAATATGTGCTTCTGACTCCTATGAACCACAGGAGCAAAATGCATTTTTATTATCAACTGAGGGACAGCGTTTTATTTAGGGGAAAAAAAAAAAGTTACTGAAGTAAGTTACTCTAATTTAAGTTTATGCCTATTATAACTAAATTACTACTTGAAAAAGTCATGCTGGGTCCTGAAGAGGAGAAGGTCTGCAGGTTCTGCCCTGGCCAGTACACCTGTCATCATGACACAAGCAGGAAGCGGAGGTATCCGATTTCTCATCTCAAACTTGCCCAAAACACGCTTCAAGCTGTACTAATTCAAAATGTTAATTATACTCAACAGATCATATGATAAAACGTACCAAACAATGGAAAAGTTCACTCTGTTACGCTGCTTGCCTGTGCAGGAATCACAGCAGCACGCCTCAGAACTATCACAATTCAGCTCTTCTTCCAGGTCACAGGCAAAACGGCTGTACTGGCTAGAAAAGCAGTTGTTTTTAAAACATATCCTGGGGCAATGGGGGTCAAATAGTGCCTACATGGCCTCCTCTCACTCCTCCTAAGCCCATCGGCCCTTATCAGCAATTTAAAAGAAAGCTGGAGAACCTCAGTAGGTCTATAGTATCAGTTAAAGATCACACTAGCCATGTCCTATGAAGTCAATTTCTATACCTGTCTAGCATTTTGCTGCTGTTAAGAGCAAAGACCACCCAGATACTCAAAAGCCAACATAAGTTATGCCTTTTTAGATTATCTTCATTTATTTACCTATTAATGACCTAACAGCATTAAAGGCATCAAAAAGGGTGAAATTTTATTTTCCCCCATTAACTCCATACTCTTTTATGTCAGGCATGATAACTCTACGTGTTCTCAGGATAACATAGGCTGAAAGGACACTGCCCAAAATACTATGCTAGGCTAACTCTTAATGAGCTGACTCTGGATAAAATGAATAGCACCAAGATCCTACATGCAATTTCACACCATCCATGTGTCATCATCTGTGTACAGCTGTGTACAAATAGCACCAAGATCCTACATGCAATTTCACACCATCCATATGTCATCATCTGTGTACGTTCTTTACATTTGTGTACAACTAATCTTGGAAATCAGTTCCAGGCACATGAAGGCAAGAAGGTAATCTAGAATAGTAAGCATGGATTCACCAAGTGGAAGTTGACCACCCTGATAACCTTCTATGATGAAATAACTGGCTGGGTAGATGAGTGGAGAGCAGTCGATACTGTCTACCTCGACTTCAGGAAGCCCTTTGAGAGTGTCCCCCAGCAAGATCCTCATAGACAAGGTGGTGAAGTATGGGTTGGATAAATAGACAGTAAGTTTGATTGAAAACTGGCTGAACGGACAGGTCCCGAGGGTGGTGATCAAAGACACAAAATCTAGTTGGAGGCCAGCAACTAGTGGCATATCCCAGGGTTTAATATTGGGTTAATACTGTTTTAAGATATTCATGAATGATCTGGATGACAGGAATAAGTGTGGATGTATTAAAAACCAAACCAAATAAACAAAACCAACTAAAAAAAACCCATCCCACCCCATAATAATTTAAAAAAATAAATAATCGCCCCAACCCTCGCAAAACCTAAACCCAAACAAACAAAAAAACCCTAACAAACCCAACCTCACCCCAAAAGCTTGACTGTGCATCACGAGCAAACATGCTTTGCTTTACAGCAGAAATTTAGAGAGCAGATTCATGGACGTTGAGTTTTGACACCATCTCAGTTCTAACTCTAGAACGTGTTTCAAAGTGCTGGAAATAACAGTAAGAACATACTCTTTTTACATATGTTTTCACTGAATAGAGAGAAGGTAGGATCAGCAAATCCCCACTAACAGGGGACAAAAAGCAATAGACAGATCTGTACCGACAGTTCTCAGCCAAGGGCAGAGGGTGATTAAAATAGTACCTATTCATGTCCCCCTTTGTTGTTCTTATGCCATCCTCAGTCTGGCATCTCTTCAAGTTGCCCTGCTTCTCTTCCTCCTTTCCTCCCCCTGCCAAAAAACCCCACCCCAAAACAAAACAACCTTCTTACTATTTTTAGTCTGTGTACATAAGCTGCTGTATTGCAGTCAGCTGCAAAATTGGCTAGAGAGCTCCAGCTCCAACCAATTTCATACTCCTCTCAACTTTCCACTTCCCGGGTTTTCTCTCATTTCCTCATATTGTTTTCCCTCTAATGACTTTTTCTCTCCGCTTAGCACTGGTTCATTTGCTTGTGCTTTCCTCCAACAGCTCCCACCTTCATGTGTCTCTTCAGTTCCCACACACTTCTTGGGCAGCAGTTGTCCTTTGACCCTTCCCAAGCTCCCCTTTTCCCATTCTCATTCCATTTCCTAACCAGCTGCCAAATTGTGACCCATGTTTATCTGGAAAATACGACAGGTCAAGCTGCTTCCCTTCATCTTAGTTTGGCTCAGCACCAGTCAGCTGGCTGCCAAACTAAATGGCCTCAAGTCATAGAGGCCCGGATAATCAAATCCTGTAAGGCTGCAACACTCTTGCAGATGTCCATGGAGTCTTCTCATCCTTCTCACTCTTGGTTAGGTAAATCACTGCAGCATTGCTAAGGTAGAGAAAAGAATCCTGAGGAACATATAAAACGGGCTGCTCTGTAACACGCTTACAGTCACACCTCCCTCCCCTAAGACCAACCAAAGACCATGCACGGCCTGAGGGAGATGGTTCCCCACTGTCCTCACCATTTGGGAAGGAGCTCCGTTAAAGCCCTCAGATCCTCAACACCTACCTAAGGAAAACCCCACTGCCAACCACTCCATCTCACAAATCGGCTTTCTAGTGAGATTCATTGTTTATTATTTGCTATAGGAAATACACTTGGGTATTTCATAGGTAAATTCCTCCTATTCTTTCATAACTTCAAGAGTATTTGCCACATTTACACTACATCTCCTGTAGTGATGCTTAAAGTATTTGTAGTAAGCATTTGTTGGCCTTCCTACTTGTAAATGGAAAACCTGTTTCAAGATTTTAATGATAGTTTCCACTTTCTCAAGTTGTATGGTTTACGCCTTCCTACTTGTAAATGGAAAACCTGTTTCAAGATTTTAATGATAGTTTCCACTTTCTCAAGTTGTATAGTTGCATAGGAGGATGAGCCTGAACTAAGGTTTCCAAACCCACGGAGGCCATGCCTAGCACACGGTGACTGCACACAGAAGCTGGCTTGCTTCTGCAGCATATCACAACCTCAAACGCTCCAAAATGAAACTAAGGCAACAGGTGAATATAAAGAAACATCAGCAGTTACAGAAAAAAAAGAAAGTCTTGCAGAAAAAGCCTTCTCTGTGAGAACTCGGGGCTGGGGGGTGGGGTGTTTAATCATGACGTGCATTTGTATTATCAAAGCCTTAGCATTTTTACTCCACTCATTGCTTGGGGAACTGAGTGGGTTGGAACTGCAGGTGGGGAGAGTGTCTTCAGCTGACTGATACTTCCTTTTGCAGATGGCCCCATCAATATATAGCTACCTAAAGCTATATATTCTATGAACAGTGCATAAAACATGCACCTCCCAAGAAATCCTTCTTTGTGGGTAGTCATATACACATAGGTTAAGTACACAGACTACAAACAATAGCTAAGGGACTTAACTGTCACCTTCAAAACCACAAAAGAACATGACTCCGATGGCACAGTTACAACTACATGGAGTGAGCAGAACAATCCACAGAAGGACTCAGCCATATTTTTCCCTGTACTAGAAAGTGGCAATGAAAGATTCTGTTAAAATAGGGATTGGACAAAAGCTTCACCGCTGCTAATAAATGCTACAACCACTTATTAGCACCATCCATTCAGAATTAATATTAAAGAAAATATAATTCCTCATAGAACAGCCAAACAATAGGGCTTTCCAGCAAATACACATGCTGTATTAAGTACTACAGACTTAAGACATGGAGTGAACAGACTGCAGCTGTGAGCTTTTTTTCCCACCCAAACAGGCCATGGTTGGGTCCTGGGTTCTCCCCGTGCTGAAGGCAGATGCCACATGCAGAAGGTGAGCAATTTAATGAGCCCCATTAAACTCAGAGCTTCCAAGGACGGAGCACAAGAGGGCAGCAGAGCTTTAAAATACACTGATTTTCCTGGCATCTTTGTTAAGCCGTCCCTCAACACAGGATTCCCATTAAAAAGACTCATAAATGAGAGGAACCTATGATATGAAGGGGAGGAAGATAAGGCGGGTGGCACTGGAGACATGCCAGTTGGCTGTCAGGGACAGGGAAACGTGTAGATGCACTACAGCCAGGAGCCTTCATCTAGCCTTTAAACCACGACTTAAAATGGGGGATAAAAAAGGAAGATGGGGGTGGCGGGAAGAATCAATAAGTGAGACCCTTCAGATAAAGCACTTAAAGGGGCAAACAAGCTGTCTGCTGTTTGCTTCTTGCTATACATTTTAGAATTGTGCATTTCTTTTTCTAAAAAAAACCCCAGTACTGCAAAGAGTTACACTTTGTTTCCTGCTGTCAAACGTAGAGTTTTTTTCTGTTATTTCTTCATGAACACATAGTAACAGCTTTGATTTATCTAATCAAATAAAAACTACAAACACATAAGAACAATGATTTTACACTAATTCATAAAGACCAGAAAATGCCAATTCCACTGTCAGATCCATCTGTCCTGCTGTGAAATCAAACAATGTGAAAAATAGCATTATGGAACCGCTTTGCACCATCCTAACCAAGACTCCTACCTTTACAATGCTTTTTAGATCCTGCACATACATCCTCTCTGTCTCCAGAATCTCTTGGACGACTCTGTCTACGTAGAGCAGCTTGGGGCTGGTGGGCTCTGTGACCAGAGACATAGCACAGTTTTTGCTCGCTCCTTTTGGTTCTGCTTTCCTGGGCATGCTTAGCCTTTTTTCAAGGCCTTCCTCAGGATCCTCTTGTTCCACAGGGGAATTTTTGCGTGGCTTGTTGCTGGAAAAGCGCCTGGCTGGGACCAGTTCTAGCTTGATGGCTCCCGTTTCTTTATCCTGGTTGAACAAGCCCAAGTGGCTGTTTGAAACCAAGGTCATTCTGCTTCCAAAGGAGCAGTGGCTGTCCCTGGATGAAGCAGAGGAAGAAGTGGAGCTAAAGCTGACGGGACGGTCACTGTCTGACAGGTCCATAGTCTTTTTTTCACAGTAGCGGAAAGGTCTGCTCTCCTTGTGCAAATCTTCCCCTTTCGTCTTGGAGTCAAGGGCCTCCGTCACAGCTGGGAGAACATCAAGAGGTAAGTGGAAATCATCTAAAAAAATAAACAGAAGAAGTGGGTTTACTGTTGCTGCTCCACATAACACAAAAGCTAACAACAGACCCTTTTAAAGCTTTTTGCATTCAAAACCGCCGCAACTCTATTTTAACTAAAAGACAACCAGAACAATGTGATTTGAGGGTCACTGTGGCTCTAATGCTTTTTAGGTGGTGAGGATCCCTCACTGCGGGGGGGCTACACACAGGCACCACGTACCTCCTGCTCACACGCATGTCTCTGGCATGTCCTTCTTGTGCCAGAGGGCAGGGCTTGGTGCACTGCCCAGGATCAGCACAGGAGAGAAATAAGACTCAAAGATCTTCCCTAAGGTTAAAAAACCACCTCTGCTGGGAGAAGATCCCACTACCTCCAAGCTGAGCACTGACCCTGGTTTGGAGGCTTTGGAAAACTGAAGAATCACACAGTGATACCAGATGGTATCTTTCCCTTTGAATTCTGTAAGGCCAACAGTCAAACAAAAACTAAAAGCAGTTATCAATTACGGCTCTGTGGCTTGTACAAAAACACTAAAACCAGAATGATTTCCCAATGAAAATAATGTAGCTTCTGAAAAAAGAGTTCCCGCAGGAAGGAATGCTGCCAAATAATTCAGTTTTCTACTGGGAAAATAAGTCATTCTAAAACTGTTCAGCTCAAACCAGAATATTACCCCCTGCTGAACTGACCCAAAGCTGTTTTTCAAATCAATGCAACAACAAAATAAGATGTCTGTCTTCCTGTCGGCATTTCAATTCTACTTTCTTTTTATTGCTGAAATGCCCTGAAGGACAGTGTCTACAATGAGATGCAGGTTTCTCTCGGTCCAAGTTGTGTGTGATGCACCATGAGAATCTGCAAAAGCAGGTGCAGGTAAATGCAATACTTCGAGGTTTTATTTCAGTAAGAAGTGTCCACCCAAAAAATCTTGCCTCAAAGAATTTCAGCCTGTCTGTCCTGTGAAAAAGGGAAACGTGACAATTCAGGAAGAAAAGCAATAGTGAAGCTACCCACACACGGGTGGCTTAGTCCTTATTTTACTCCAGCAACAACCTCATTTTGCCAGCAATTACAGCTCTAGACAGCAGTTTCAGTAAAGAAGCCATAAAGCCAGTAAACTGCAAATTAAACCCGCCCAGTCTTTAAGGTGGCCCTTCTTAAAATGACGCAGACTCGCTGTGCAATTACAGGCAGAAACCTCCCGGACACCGCTCCTGCTGCAGTTGGTCTGGGGGGAGCAAGAGGGGGAGAAAGAATTTCATTCAAAGCAGAAAGCCCTTCTCTCATTATTCAAACACCACTATTCATTTAAAAATAAAGAAAACGAATCCAAAGCAAACAGTCAAAAAAAAAAAAAAAAAAAAAAAAAAAAAAAAAAAAAAGGCCCAGAGAAGAATGTCTGACTTATTTGGCCTATCATGAATGCATAACATTTTATTTGTACATGAGTAATTAATACTGCCATTTCAGTGATGATGGTGTGAGCTTTCTGTTAACAAGTATTGCCCTCAAGGTAATGCATGGAATTAACACAGAGTAATTTGCTCATTACATGGGTCAGAAATTGGCCATTAGATTAAAAATCTCATTTGGCACCTCTGTACCCCTGGTTTTACCTTGAAGTCTGAACATATATAGCCTTTCTTTGTGCCAGGTTCTTCTGGTTTTGCAGCATAGAAGCATATTTTCTTATCCTTCCTGAATAAACCACATCAAGTACAAACTCCAAAATAAAATATAAAGCAATAAACCAGTAAAATATTTAAAACTGAAGAATGTAGTGAAGTCCTCTTGTTTCTAAAGGGGTATGGACAAAGATGTTTGCCTTCCTATTGCTTGTGATAAGAAAGTATGCATTTTTGATAAGGAAGAATGTATTTTTGTTATCAGCTTTGGATCATTTTTCATGTTCAGGTAGAAAGCACAATGTTGCTGCGCAGATGTAAACCCCCTTGAAAAACGCACAGGATAAACAAGATAACAGGGATACCCTTCCGCTAACTTTACTTTAGATATTTTACTAAAATTACATGGCAAAGAAACACCTGATTAACCACATTTAAAGGGGAATAAAAGGTTCCTATGACATTCCATTACTCCATGCTCTTTTCTTCCTGTTTCACTGATACACAGCCTGTCTCTCAGATAACCTGAAGGCATTAATATGGAATATTTGTTTCACAAACACTGTCAGGCTCATTAATATAAAAAACAAACAAAACACAGTTCAGGTCAATGGAGCTGGAGTCACAGCTTTTCATAAGACACACTTGTAGCCAGAAGCACTGGGAGATATTAACATGTCTTAGAAAAACAAAATAAAAAAAAACACCTTATTTTTCTGTTTAATGACAATGGCATTGCTTATTAAAAAAACAAGAATTACTTGTAATAGTTAAAACGGGCTTGCTCTTTAACACCTGTATTCCCACTGACCTTGGCAAACCCCAAGCACCAGCTAATTAATTGCAGGCAACACAGTTGACTGAAGTGCCTCCATTTTTTTATACAAATGACTATTCCTGTATTTTTCTACATAAATTACACCAAGCAAACTACTTGAAAATCTTGGTCTGTTTTGTCCTCAAAGCCTCCTCCTGACTGATAGCCTCAAGTGTTATTTTTTCTTCATTCTTACTCCTTTCCCAGCCACGTGAAAACCAGTCATTTGGCGGCTTGGTGGTGAGTTTTTGCTAAAACTGTGCCCATTACATCTCTGACCAGTGAAATGTGTTCCTCAGGGTCCACGCCGCTGGCACCTGAGGCCAGTGCTCCCACAGCGTGGTAGCTGGGCACCCAGGTGGCTGGTGAGCCCAGCAGGGAGGCAGGAAGGACAGGACCAGGGATTTCAGTGTGGCACAAGCCCAGGAAGCACCTTCCTTTCCTCAGCTGGCGAGTCCCGTGCCAACCGCTTTGCTCCCTCTGCCCGGGGAGGTCAGGGCTTGGGGACAATCCCTGGCTCTGCCCACCCCTCCATTTCTGCCTCGGCTACAGGTGGCTGCTACAAACCCACAGCCCTCCCCAGTAACACAGGACCTGTACATCTACCACGGCTTCACAGGTTTATCTTCAGAAGTTCCTCTGACACAAGGCAGGATTCCCCGCCCCCTACCCCCGTTTGTTAAAATCAGGAACAGGTATTTTAGAAGATTTCTGCAGTCACAAGTCCATCGGGAAAGGCAGCAGCTGAGTCCAGTTCATTGCCACAGCCAAGAGCCCACTCTCTTTTCTCTTCTCAGGGTCTGCATTTGGGTTTTCAGAGCTCTGGTACAGTTTCACTCTAGGGTTTTACTCTTGTGCCAGCTGCCTACGGTCTGTACAGAATGCCTAGTAAAAATTCACAAGTTAATCGAGGGGGTTGGAGGCGGGGGGGGGAAGCAGAAACAGCCTCCCCCAAGATTGCATCTCTATGATGCATCCCTATGCATCATAACAGAGCCCATGCCTTTGCAAACCCTGTCACCTCCTACAAATTTTTGTCTTCGATACTAAACTTACTATAAACAGCCAATTAATTTCACCCACATCCTGTGGGACTGATTTACACGCTCCCTCCTCCCGCCCAGTCACCAATCTCAGGAGCAACGTCCAGGTGTGTGTCCCCCCCCCATCACCCCTCCCGCAGGTGGGGACAGTCACCAAAACTCTGGCTGCAAGCCGTGGGTGTAGCTGCAGGCACCCCCAGACCCTCGCAGAAGGACACGCTCCCAGCAAGTCTCCTACGCCCTGACCCACATCTGGGCCGGTTCACTGCTTTTTTTTTTTGTTAGGCATTCTTTTGTTCACTGACCCTTTTCAATGACGAACCAAAATAATATTGAGAACTTTTGTGAGTGGTGAATAACGGTATTTAACTCAGTCTGGGGTAGGGGAAAAAAAAAAAAAAAAAGAGAAAACTTCAATTTGCATACTTTAATTAAGGAATAACAGTAATTACTTGTTAGTTCAGCACTGAAAGGAGAATAATTACTACTTGTCCCTACTCACAAGGAAATAAGTTTCCCGAACAAGGTCATTTCTTGTTTGTGCCTTTGCATGAATGCAGTTGGCCTGTCCCCCTCCCCAGCCCCTGCAGACCCCC